GGGTTCCAGCAGCGCGGGGTGCCCGCATCAGGGGTGCCCGCAGTGCGGGGTGCCCGCATCAGGGGTGCCCGCATCAGGGATGCCCGCAGCACGGGGTACCCGCAGCACTGGGTACCCGCAGCACGGGATGCCCGCAGCACTCTGCGGGGCCGGGTGCCAGCGGTCCCCGCACCAGCCTGAGGGGCACGGCTGGTTTTTGGGGCCGGGGGAGCAGGCAGGAGGTGAGCGGGCCGTGAGCCCGAGGTGAGCAGGGCTGGGTTTTGCAGCCGAGTCCAGTCTGGGTTTTCCCGGGCTGGAAGGTCCTTTGTTAAGCTGGGGGGTGTCTCCATGTGGAACAAAAAAAGGTGTTTGGGAGCGGCTCCCCGCGTTGCCAGAGCCGGCTCAGGTTTCAGAGCGGTGCCGAAGCTGGGCTTGTCCCTGGAGAGTAAAGCTGCTGGTCTCGGACAGAGACTGAAAGTTACAAAACTATAAAGATCTTGAGGAGCCCTGCTTTTCACATCTACGTGTGTGTAAAGCATTGACATAAAACTGCCTAAAATTTGTTTCAAAAGGGAGGAAAAATTCCATTCTGTTACATTTCAAAATCCCATTTCCATGGTGACCTGTGCTTTTTGTTCATTAATTGCAGAAAGGTTGTAGCCAGACACAGTGCTCTGCTCTGACCATACTACAGAGCTTGTGTAACTGCTGCAATTACAATTAACATGTAAAATTGCAGTTCTCTGTTTCAGGGGATGCACTGAAAACCCAGAAGCTCCTGATAATGACTCACAACTTCAAGTTCCTTTTACTGAACCAAACAAAGCTCAACAGTGTGGCCATACAAATAAACTGGAAAGTTTAGGGCGGATCTGCATGTTAGGGGACATATTATGCAGGCAGTTCCAGTCTCCACTAGCAACATGGGGAAATGCTAGCTGTAGGGGTTTTTTTGACCACAAAAGACACAATAGGCGCAATGAAGAAATGTGGCAAAGAAATAAAAGGGTGGATGGGAAGTAAGGGGAGAAAAACTAGAATGAATTTCCCTGAGTCAGTAAAGCAGAAAATAATTGTTACTGTGGGGATCAACTCTGAAGAAGTCTGCAGTGATTAGGCTGCCAAACTTTAATAAATTGCAACTTGTGGGTGTTATGTGGTCTAAACAATTCTGTTAAAGGGCTTTGCACCAATGAGTGGAGGAGATGAATAGTGGAAAGACTTAAGACTTTTTTTTTTCTTTCCACAACTGTTCACAGAGTTTAGATACTGCTGTGTCTGAGAACCCAGCTTCAGAAACGTTAAGAGTTGTCTTTCAGAGTGGCTGATAATCAACACGTCTGATTAAAGGTGATAGATATATTGACAGAGCCTACAGCAATTACCCCAAACACAGAACCTAACCTGGCGGGAATGCTTCTCCACTATCTCATGTTTTGAATAGCTGTTCATAACAGCAGAGTAGATATTGCTTTTTTTTGTAGTGTATTACAGACACATTGGGTATGTAAATACATGAAAATGAAAAGTGTGAGGAGCACAAACCCTGTAACACGCATAACATATATCACAGAACCATTGCTCAGCAAA